TTCCAGTTCACTTCAAAATGGAAACACTGCGCGTGGCCTTTGTTTCGCTGGTTCCCTATCTAGTAAATCATTGTGAGACTGAACATCTTCTCCTTCTGTTCATTCCAAAATGCTTACCACATCCCCCTCCCCACCCCACCCCACCCCTACTCCTTTCACCCAGCCCCAACGTGTGTTTCAAAGCTTCTGATATCAAAAGACAACAACCCATACTCCCACCCACTCTGTCTCCAGTTAGTTCGTCGTTTCTTTTTTCGGATGCCTTGTTTGGTATTGATGAAGGCGTCCCATTGGACCTTACATAGGTCATTTCGTACAACTTTTCATAAGTCATTTCACACAACTTTACAATGGATATTTTACATAAATTCGTTCAACTTTACTTGGGTCATCTCTTACAACTTTACAGAGGTCGTTCCCTACAACTTTACATAAGCCATTTTGCACAGCTTTACATAGGTCATTTCGTACAGCTTTACATAGGTCGTTTTGTACAGCTTTACATAGGTCGTTTCGTGCAACTTTGAAATGAGTAATACAGGAAGAAAAAGAGACGGAGCAACATTATTCAGTTTATTATAATCATACTTAGTAAAAATATAGATGTCCCTGTTTAGAACCCACTTGGAGAATTTTCCGACTTAGGTAGTTTGTGGAGATCCCAAGGGTCTCCACTGACTGTGTCTTTAACATTAAAGATAGATTGTGAGTCCTGGGTCCGGCCTTTTATACAACCTTTAGGTGTCTAAAAGGGACGTTAGAACCATACCAAGAATGTAGAAAAAAGGAGATCAGTTCGAACTTAACTCACATTTGAACCTCGCAATTCCAAGGGTTAGTCAAGTACAAAGCCATATGAGCATGTGCGGTCAGCTTTCTAATACCTCCCCCAATCACGTTCTATCATTCCCCAGTCAGTCCTTACCTCACCACGGGGGATGTATGGAGTCATGAATTAATAACTAGGGAAACGTTTTGTTGGCGATAAATCTGGTCGTGCACTATAAAGCTGGTAGTTATTACGCCCGTATAAAAGGCGGCTGAAGTTGTTCCCTGAACGTTACCTTATGAAGCTTGGCGTCTAATTATGTTCATAGTTTTATAGGAACGAGCGTATGACCATTCATGATTAGGTAATGCCTCACCTCCCCCTTTTCTCTCTCTCTCTCTCTCTCTCTCTCTCTCTCTCTCTCTCTCTCTCTCTCT